ATGATCATATCACTAGATGCAGAAAAAGCTTTTGATAAAATCCAGCACCCCTTCTTGATAAAAACCCTTGAACATCTAGGCACACAGGAAACATACCTCAAAATAGTAAAAGACATCTATGAGAAAGCCACAGCCAGCATTCTCCTAAATGGACAAAAATTGGAACCATTTCCCCTGAAAACTGGAACAAGACAAGGATGCCCACTCTCACCCTTCCTGTTCAACATAGTATTGGAATTCCTGGCTCGAGCAATCAGAGAAGAGAAGGCAATCAGGGGTATCCAAATAGGAAAAGAGGAAGTCACATTATCTCTCTTTGCAGATGATATGATTGTGTACCTTGAAAACCCAAGAGAATCTGTCAAAAACCTCCTTACACTGATAAAGGCCTTCAGCAAAGTCTCAGGATACAAAATAAATGTGCAAAAGACAATCGCATTTCTTTACATCAATAATAAACAAACAGAAACCCAAATAAAAAGCAAAATACTGAGTGACCTCTCACAGAAACTAAGATCCGAGTATCACATGTTCTCACTCATATAATGGACCTTGAACATCCAATGTAATACTATAAGAAAATAACTGACAGTAGTGGGAAACTATGGGGGGGTGTGGGATTAACGGTAGCAAATATCTCTCTGGGGATGGGGAAACACCTCTTATCAACAGGGTGCCTGAATGAAACGTATTTGTATACCTAACCCTTAACTGTACCCCACAACAGCATAATAAAAAATATTGATTAAAAAAAAAAAATAAGCCAGGCATGGTAGTGTGTACCTGTGGTTCTGGAGGCGGAAGGATCACCTCCCAGCAGGTCATTGCCGGGGTGGCAGTGAGTATGCCACTTCACTTCAGCCTGGGCAAAGGAGTGAGACTCTGACTTAAAAAAAAAAAAAAAAAAAGAACGAAAACAAAGACAAGGTGCCTACAAAAGTGAATGACCAGATGGTGAGGTGATAGTTTACACTAGATGTTTGATCATCAAAAATAATATCAATAATCAAAAATGATAGGAAAACCATCAAACAATATTTGTGCTGATATTCAAAGGATGAATAAAAGCAAGCCATGTCTGTAACTGTGAGATGTGTTTTTAGATGATTCTGGAAAAGCCAAGGCAAGCATATTTGAGGGTATGAAAGGAATCAAAAAAGCATTGAGTAGGTGGAACCCAGGGACTAAGAGGCAGAAAAAGGAAGGTGATTATGATTAATAGTGGCAAATCGATTCTTAGTTGCCCTCAAATATTAACTCATTCTCCTCTAGTGACACGGTCCTTAGATTTTTCTTGGCAATTTATTAAACTTTGTTTTCCTAAAACATGGCTCCCACAACCAACCTGATCCATCAGACTGAGGGCCACCTACAAGAGATGGCAGAAGGGGAAGAGAGAAAGAGCATGAAGACTAAGTTTATGTCTGTCATGCCAACTCTGGACTATATACCTCTGGATTTTTAGTGAGACATAAATATTCTCTCTTTTGTTAAACTATGTTACTTTGGGATTTTATGTTTTATGTGGCAAAGCTTAACCTAAATAATACAGGTAGCCAGAGACTGGAAAATGAAGACCTTTTTAAAATAAAGAGTATACAGAGGTTAGATTTTATTCTAAGTAAAATAGACTTTTATTAAAGGATTTCTAATGTTAGTATTTAAGGTGTTAACAACTTGTACATTTTTGAAAGATTATTGCTTCTGGAATGTAAATAAATAGCTACTTATATGGTATGTGCCTAAAAACACATTCACATAACAATCATAATATTTTAAAAAATAAGCAAGCTTACATTATCCAATATCAAATATAATTTACACATTATTCAAAAAGAAGCTAGACACTTGTCATACTTTCATCTAAACTTTAGTTTACTTCGTGGTGCCAAAAGTCTAACTTTTCACGATTGGCTTCACCACTGAATACCAAGGAGGTCTTGGTAAGTTCCTTAAATTTACTGGCTCTCAGTGAGCTCATCCTTTTTAAAAAAGTGAAAAATATCCTACCATTGTATAAGGATACTGAGATTAATGGCTTTATTTATTTAAAAATGCTTTCTATAGCACAAAGTTCTATACAAATAGCCTACATAAAATGTAAGTATAATCATAAAACAAATTAAATATTGTCCTTTAAATTTTAACCTTTCAAATTTTCTACTCTGAAAAAAAACAAGTAAAATTAAAAATTGAGCTAAACAGCATGAGTAGGGAAATAAAATAAATTCAATTTTCTATCAGTTTAACAAATGATCAGTAGAGTTTTGACAACTGCTACATAATTTAATAATGACTATGATGTAATGCCTTCAATATTTGCTATGTTAATAGCATATTGTTAAGATGAAATTAACTCTATGAATATAATTAAAATGAAAACAATGTTCGAGCGACCTGTGTTGCCAGCTAAGTTTCATATTTCCTTCCTGCATCTATTTAAAATATGGTTGCATTTAAAGTTCATCTACCTCACACACGTTCTTCGTGATGATATGAGTCACAGTTGCAAGGCAACTCGTTTATGAAGAATGTAACTAGAAATAGTGGGAAAGAAACTAAGCACAAACCAAGGAAGGTAATGGAAGCCATATTGGAAGAAGGAAGGTTACTGGGATGGAAGGTAATTGACAGAGTGTGATTTGAGGGACCCCCAATATTGCCTCTGACCTTTACTATTTCTCCCACTGGTCAGCAAGAAGAACCCGAAATAACTATTAAAGCCATGATTTGGGGATGACTTCCTTAGAAAGCTATTTTAAAGTGGAAATTAAGAAATCAAATTCATTAATCCAGGAACAATTGTTACATTAATTTACTTAATATCCTGCATTGTTGGCAACTTGATATTATTCCTTATCCCTTTTCTATCCTGTACTATGATCATTTTCGTTTCTTTGGTAGCCTTTCCCTATTTGTCTAAGACACTGCATCTAAGTTAAAATTGAATTGGAAGATGCAATCGAAAACTCATGTGAGCAATCACTTAACCTTCCTACTGCCCCTTAAGGTGCAGAAAGCTGAAAAGTCCACCACGCCCAACCTAATGATAATATAAAGGCAGACTACCTATGACCTTTAACATGTTCTTTGAGCCCACCAGAGAGCTGGAATTGTACGATGAGCCAATGACTAGCAATTAGGACTTGTCCAAGCAGAGTCCAGGAGTGTGCCCTGACCGACATGTGGCAAACACAGGAGGAAGATACAGCTGCTGAGGAAGCAGGGAGGGATGCAGCTACCATTTTTAAAGAATTGCTAAGGTTGAGTGTAGACTAGACAGAATAAAACCTCCGGAAGCTACCCAGTAAAGGAGACTTCTGATCTATTTGTAGACTCCTTTCCAGCAACTCCACTGGGGTAATCATAAGAGAAAGAGGGCAGGGAGGGAGACCGGAGAGGTTACCTGAGTGGTCGAGACCTGGGGAAGAGGGTGCAGGAAACACCCCAGGAAAACCATGAAATCCCGCCTAGATTCTTGAGACCTTAGGAACAAAAGCCCAAGTAAATATAGGAGAAGAAAGAAAAATAGTTTTTCAACATTAGACTACACATCAGTATACTATTTTTATGGCTTTCACATTAAAAAAATTTTAGTATCAGTTTTAATTGACAAGTCTTAATTGCATACACTTGTAGAATACAATCTGATACTTTGATATATGTATACAATGTGGAGTAAATTGAGACAATATGCATATTCACAGCCTTACCTACTTAACATTGTTTTAAAAGTTTTATTTTGGTTTTTAATCAGCCTACACTGATTGTACATGATTGTGGGGGTACAAATGCATACACTGTGTAGTGATCAAATCAGAGTAACACACCCATCACCTCAAATAATTTAATTCATACGGTTCTGTCATTTCACCCAGTTCTTGAATAACAAAATGCATTAGAAAAGGCACTTGCTTTCAGATTATTCTTTTCTGAAAATGGCATATCACAATGAATGTATTAAGTATACAAATAATGTGTGCTGAATTTTCAAATGGAGTTGTCTAAATGTTTGCTGAGAGATATTTAATAATAATAAAGTGGGAAATTATAAAAAAAAGTTTAAAAATTTGCATCGCAGACCTTCCTTCCCAGATCTGCTGCAGGGAAAGTTGACATTTTCTGTCTACCCTTGTACGACAATCTCCAGTGAGTCTATGGCTGTCTCCAT